ACCTTTATAAGCAGTATATAAACATTTAAAAAATGATTTATCACACGCTATATGTAGTTAAAGTGTTAATTATTTTAATTGTCAACAAGTACATTTCCTCCTGTTGGCACCGGTTACGGGAGCCTGGTGTATAAACAGGATAATACTGTATAGTTTAAAAAACTTTAAATATTTCCTCATAAGAGAAATTGTAATTGTCGATTAAAATTGTACACTAATCTTCCTCACAAATGTCCTTATATCTGCTCACAACTATACACAGTAGTAGTAAACATAGTGTGTTAGAAACCATTTATTTAACAGCTATATAGTACTTAAAACATAATTGCAAAACAGGGAGGTTTAAAGTACCAGTGCTAACAGTTTAAACTAAATGGATTATGTGACAATTTATAAAACCTTCCAATGAACAAATGACAGAAACAATGTGATTATAATAATGGTATTAAGATTATAGATGAAATTATGTTAATCTGAAATACTCCACCTGGTCGAAAATGTGTTTTTGTAAGAAACGGACGGTGATAATGCAGGTCAAAATGTATCTTGGTACAACAAATCAATTAAATGCCACAGAGATATTTTCATTGAATAATTCAAGTGGGGCACAATTGTCTTTCTCTGTAAATTGTATTGCATTTTTAGTTTCTTTCATTTGTAACTTTCAAGACAGTTTTGAATCTTTGCAGGCTTTTCATGTTTTTTAGACAGCCTCACTTAGTGCTTTTGTTTTTAACATCTTGACACACATGGCAGACCTTCTGCAGGGGCATGCCCGAGGCATACTGAGGCATTGATCTGTTTGCTGTGTTGCATCCGAAAATTGTAAAATTGTAATTGCATTGCTAAAACAAATCGTCTCATTTGTTTGTTTTAGTCTATATTTTACTGTATATTTTCAGAGTTAAACAAGTTTCATTTCTCAAAACAGCAAATTATATTTATCTGCTACGCAAATGCGATTAGAGACATAAATTGTGTATTCAATCAAAATAAATAAAAATTTTAAAGAGAATATAATTTCCCAAGTACCTCTCTCTGCTATCAAATCAAATGAGCACTCAACACATGTTACACTTAAATACACTAAGCGCATGCTTTACCACTTATTTAATAATATTGTTTTAATACTCTGCAGGCGTTCATGTAGGAAAATACTCAAACAAATTGCAACTTATACATCCCTCCGCCACAGAATTATCTCATTCCAAGGAAAAATTAAGATAATTGGTGATTTTATACACACAAGCTTTGCTGGTGGGCTAAAGGGTCAGGATGTGACCAGCACAAGTCACAAATCTGTCTTAATGTATAGATGTATAGCCTATACAGGCTAAATGACACACAGCCACCACGCACAATTATGGCCATTAGGATAATAAGGTGACACAATAAAACATATATTTCAGTAGCCCGACATGAGAGACCTATAGAGAGGGAAAGTGACCACCCAGCCATCCGTGCAAAAAGGCAACCATCTCATTTATGGCAATTAAGCTGTACGGAGACTGATGGTAGCGCAGGGCCTGAGTCCTCACATCATCGGCAGCATTTGTCACATTTCATCCCCGCTGCCCTGAATGTCTCGTGGGGCCTCAGACAAGACATGTGTCATCAGAGGGCCAATTTAAGATGCCATGGGTGGCCTGTTGTTGTGACATGCAGCTAAATTGTAAGAGAGAGACTGGGGTGGAATCACTTTGTCACTCTCTGACTAGCATTAAAAGACTTGCCTGATCTAAATGTCTTGTCTAATGTAGTCTAAACCCGCATGGCTTAGTTTGTGTAGAGCAAGCACAAATACCAAATTATTGTAGATACATATGACAAATAAGGAAGAGCACCTGTGGGATTAAAAGTAATGATTTGTTTTGGTCGGCATTTTGGTCATCAATGCTGGTTATCACAAAATCATTCAATTTCGTGGACTGGCTGTGATGGAAAAAGTATATTTACTTGCCTGATTGATTAATCAATGTAATTGCAGCATAATCTGATTCAATACTGTGTGGATTCAATTTGAACTTCCCCATCACCTGGTGTTAATTTGCAGGCTACAAAAACACTTTAAGCACCACTTACTGATATCAAGCCAGTTGTTTTTATTTACACTATGAACATCCTAAATGTAACTATAATGATTAACCCTAAAAAGAGCAACAATATAGCACCAACATCAACGTTGCAGCCAACATAATATGGTCAAAGGTAGACCAAAAAAGTCCCAGTTTCAAGGTGAAGGTGACAAATAAAAACAGTCAGACAAAGAAAACACACACAGAGATATGTTTTCAGGAATATAAATATCACTACACTATGATCACTTCAAGCATTAAGTCTTTTCTAAATTTATCATCTCACAAGACAAAACCTGCAAAAGAAAACTGGACCTGTAATGTTCACTGAATTAAGTCGAGCAGGGAGACAGGAGTTGAAATCGTGTTAATAGCTGTCCAGAGTATAAGAGCCCGCCAAGGAAGCCTGCAATCACACAAATACCCAGAGACAGGTCCTGGGTGCCCCGGGCGGGTCTTGCGCCCTTCCCCTCAGCGCCACCGACCCCACTGCGTGCCAAAGAGGCCCCACCAGCCCCTCTGAGCTCGTTTAGACCCAGATCTTCATGTCAGACGCGTCTCATGCAAGAAAAGAAAAGTTGCCAACTCATTTTAGGAGGGCAACTCAGAGGGTGAGAACTGGAAATCACTTTAGCAGCGTGAGAGGCAACTGTGTGATTTCAAGATTTTTTTAGTATTTGTCTGTGGAAACAATTTACAGCCTACTTCTTCTTTTTTAATCACAGCCTTTTTACATAAAGTGGCTTTTTTTGTCAATTAATCTTAAACGCCCACAACACAAGTATAAACAAAAAGAAATGTTTGAAATAAGCATTTTAAATTATATTAATATATAATTATACATGTCGTAAATGTGGTTGGCATTTTTTATTTTTTTTTGTGCATTTACGTGATTAAATGTGTGAAATCAATGTGAAAATGTTTTAAAGCTGTGGAATGGTCGTTGAAATGAAGCAAACCGGGTCCAAGCATAGATATGTGTTTTAATTATAAAGACATATAAACAATATATGAAATCCATGTTGCAACACAACCAAAACGCTTCTTCGATGTATAGTCTGTAGTTATATTAGTAGAGCCGGGCTTGGAGCAAGTTTTTTTTTTTCCACAGTTGTACAATACAATCATGTGAGATGTGCAATAACTTAAAATAACAAAACAAACTTGTCAACACATCGTTTCAGGAAATATATCAGCCAACATCACATTTCCCCCACATAGCATCAGTACAGGCAGTCAAGGGAAGTCCTTCCTTTCATAATTGCTGTTATTAAATCTAAAAGTCGAGATCAGGTCGCATTTCTTGGCTTTTCCACTTTTCATGTTGTTGTTGAATGTTGCATAGATTACAAATAATAGCTGATAACTTAAGTCAAAATGTAACCAAATTTATAATTTGGACATGACCTGCAGTGTCTGTAAAGTACGCGCGACAAAGTGACAGGGTTTTTAGATTTCATCTTATAAGAAGGCCTAAACTGTTTATTTCCTATGTAGCGTTTGTTAAATCTGGATGAAGTATATGCAGTATAATTACTTAACCATACTTTAAGATTATGCATCAGACTAAACTTATATTTTCCACAGAATGATTTAAAAATAACTAGAGTGGGAGAGAGACCGACATGGGTGCAGTAAAGGTAAAAGTTCAGGAAAGAGAATTGAAACCAAATCAAGGCTTGTCGTTACAGTGTTTGAAGAGACTCGAAGGTGTTCCGGAATAAGTAGTGCACTTTTCGGCACAGGTGGCGAGTGCAGAGCCCGAGAACGGGTAGACGGCAGCCTGTCCAAAGGGCGCCAGGGCGGTGGGGATTGGTGAAGTTATGGTCTGTCCCTGGTTCAGATATGCCACCAGCCGCCTCATCTCCTCCAGAGCCTGAGCCTGCATGAGGATGTAGTTCTTGGCCAGGAGGAGAGTGGCTATTTTGGAGAGTTTTCTCACCGAGGGGCTGTGGGCGTAGGGAATAACAGAGCGCAGGCCGTCCAGCGCGTCGTTCAGATCATGCATCCTCCTCCTCTCTCGGGCGTTGATGCTGAGCCGCAGGGAGCGCTGCTCCTTGGACTTCTTGGCGAGGGGCCCCCCGGGCTTGTCGTCCCCAAACGACGAGCCCCTCTTCCGGGACTCCAGCGAGTCGAAACCGTCCTCGTCATCGCTCGTGTGCTCCCCGCCGCTCTCGTTGGACTTCGCGGTCTGTCCGGAGAGGAAATCGGTGGCCGGTGTGAGCGGGAACCGACCGGGACTTCCAGCACCATGGCCAGCGCCAAACCCGAAGGCTGATTGGCCGTAGCGCTGCGTCAGGTCGAGGAGCGCGTCGTTGCTGATGGACTTGAGCAGGTTCTCTTCGCTGACATTCATTTTCTCTTCCAGAGCAGATTGTGACCAGGAAAAGTCTACTCTTCCGTTTTTCTTTCTTTCTGTCTTTCTTTCTCTCCTATCCTATCTTTTTGTTTTTGAAAACCGAGGAGCTGTACTCACGTAGTTCTCTCCAAGAGTTGCTGTTTTCTAGGAGTTCCTCTCTTCCCTTCACTCCTTTTTTCCCCTCTGTCAGTGCAGTGACTCTTCAAGGAAGGAGGCTGTGAATCTGAAGCTGAGCCTCTACATGCATTCACCTCCTCTGTACACTGCGCTCCCCCCTTGTTGCGCGCATAGCCCACGTTCAACAACACTTCTCTAATTGTGCTCGGTGAGATCGGAGCGCTCGTGTCCCCCTTTCGTACGGTCGGTTTTCTCTCGCGCGTTTTTCTTGCCCTCCCTCGCCTTGGGCAGATTGTGACTCGCGCTCTGCCCCTGCTCGCAAGTTAGTAGGAGCACGAGGCCCGACGGGATTATCTGGCCGTCCAATCAGGGGGGCGTTTTAATTAACTCGGGAAGAGCGCAAGTCTGCTCCCAATTTCCATCATCATCAACGTGATAATTGCAGCGCAAACTGACACAGAGACGTTACTGCATTGTCCACTATTATATTACAACCCATTTAAACCAGTTTAACAAAAAAACACTGATTGTGAGACATTTAGGTAAACTTGAAAAGGAGTTATTTTACGCATTGGACACGATGAGCGCAGTGCAAACCTTAATGCATCAGACTGGAAGGTGGATAAACAGCACTCACCTGTCTGAAGAAGATGTAGGTTTAGATCAGAAACACATTGTGAGAGATCAGGTAGAGGAGCAGACTTAAGGATGCTGTGAGGTTTGACCATGTGACCTCCAGGTTCTTCTTTCTTTAACTTTCTTTCTGATCCAGACTAAAATGTTTGCTTTGGATCTGTACATTTTTAAACTACTGTGACAGTGACAGACAATGCTGGGTGTTAGGCTATATCATTTCAGTAGCACAGCCTGCTCTGGACAGATCCCAGAAACAATAAGCTCATAGAAGAAGTGCTCTATCCTGACCGCCATTCACCTTGCACGCTAGCAGAGTCAGCATTGGCACCAAATGTTCAGGGACAAGTTCCACTCAGTCACCTTTGCAGGTAATGTAACATCTTACACTGGCCAGTCAGTGATTAGTGGAAGATAAATAGCTTCACTTTTGTCTATTCAATGAGTCATATCTCATGAAACCTATAAGCTGCTATTAATACATTTAAGACAAAACAATGTGCCTACAACTTATAGGCAAGCTATAGACAAATATGCAGGCAACTCATTGCTGAATACACCCTTAAAACAATGTTATAAGCTTAAGGTTATTGAAATGATTTGTAAGGATCCAAATCAGAGGAAAGATGACCTGAAATAGCACACAAGTAATATGATAACAAATCTTTTATTTTTTATTTTTTGCAAGTAAAAGGTCTCCTGAGGTTAAGAAACAGGTGTCCTAAGTATGAAAGTTAATAGTGAAGGTAAGGCTGCCACTCAGTGTCTAGTAAGGAGCATTACACTATCATTGGGCTTCATGTGTGATCAACTACAATCTACAGCTAGACTACCCATATGGCTTCCTGCAGGCTGAGTGCTCTATGTTTTTGTGCCACCTTGTGGAGAAGGAGGCTAAGTGAATGTTATAATCCATTAGAGACCAATTTGGTGATAATGTTCGCAATATTTTTTTGCTGCTGTTGAGAAGTAAATTCCACTTGGTGTTCATCTTTGAGGCCTTTTGTAGCACTGAGTATGTCATGTTAAAGTCCCCCCTCTATTAATAAATGTACTTCACTTGGATGTTTGACCTTCACTGTGCAGAATGATGTATGTGCAGAGTTTGACACCAGAAGGTTATTTTCACGTTTGTCTGTTGGAAGAAAAAAAGTTTCTCTGTGCTCATCTCAAATCAGAGTTTAAGGCGTGTATTCACTACTAGCATGGAAGCTAATCATAATTCTATATGCAACTTATTCAAGTCTGAGGTGGAAACCAGACTAGCCAAGAAACTATCCAAAAAACGTATCTGACACTGTTTTTCAATCATTTATATAAAATATGTCTTGAGGGAATTATGTAAATATCTTAATAAGTGTATTTTAGTCACTGTAGGTGAAAGCCTATGTGTGATCACTGCTCTTCTTTGATGCAACTTTTACATTTTTTGACAACTGTTATTATAATTTTTGAGACTTGTCATCGTTTCACATTACATGTTCACTGACAGTACAGGTTTCCTTACACCACTAATAGAATAATTAGTGATTAACAGACTTTTATTAGAACTGACACATTCTACTAACTCTATTTTTGCTTATAATGACTTCATTGTTTAGCTGTCACTGTAACTGGGATTTAAAGTAGTTGTTGCCTGAATTGTGAGTCAGAGGCTCCACCGGAATCTGAATGTGATTCTAACTATATACTTGTTATGCAAATACTCTGCATACATCATCATCATCAGACATCCTGGCCTGATCAGTGTATTGAGTTGTAAATCAGATTTACACTCTAAAAATGGTCAAATGTTTGATTGATTACAAATATCAATGACAAATGTATTGATACATAATTGATTTGAATGTATTTAATATGATTTGTCTTTGGTTGTGTGTGTTAATCAGTGCTGAATACACTCAAGCAGTGAATCAGACAGCAGAAAAACACTATTGATCGATTGACCACCCAAGACAAAGCAGCAAAAGATGAATGCACTGGTACAGGAACGTTCAATAAAAACAAAATTAAAAATAAAACAGGTGAAAACAAAGGTTTTAATTTATGCAAAGAACAATTGGTCAAAACAACCAACATGATGTAAACACACAAACAAATCTAGTGCCTAAAAAAAAAAAAGACCTTAAGCAACATGACTAAAAACAGTCTCATTAAAAAAAACTAAATATAGAATATAAGCATGTGGAATTAATTTTTGACATTAAAACTGAAATGTGTTTTGGACCATTAGTAATTAGACAAACTTCATTAAAAAAAGTCAATAGGCCCTTTGTGACTGTAGACATTTTGATTCAGGTGTAACTAATATGATTGAAACAGTAAGACAGCATGCACAATACAGGGACCCTTTTCCCTTTATGAGACAGGACAGTGAGCGATTGACAAGAAAGGAGGGAAAGAGAGAGGGGATTACATGCAGCAAAGGGCCACAAATCAGATTCAAACCCACAGCCACTGCAATAAGGCCTTGGCATATAGGGCACCAGCCCTACCAGGTGAGCTACCAGGATGCCCTACTGCAGTGTTAATTATATCATTTACACCTGTGCCTTTTTTGTGACATGTCAACATCTCTTCAGTGAAAATTACTCCAAAAAAACAGTAGAGTAGGAAACAATACAACACAGCATGACACATTTCTACAGAATGAAATGGTGTAGGATGAAGCTTCAGCCCTTTTTACAGTACTCAGCCTCTGACTTTTGACGTCAACATGTAACATCAGTGAAAACTTTACAATATTGTCTGACTAAAAATACAACATGTTTAAAATGTTCAACCCACTGCAGCAACAGTTCTCTTTACTATGTGATAGATTTTCTGTCTTGAATGCCCACAGGATAATGTACAATACTTTGGCCAGCAGATGGCAGAAAAGCCCACAAGTTAACAAATACATCAAACATATAATAGACAACACACTCTGTGTATATCAGTCAGTACAAAATTTAGAATTAGCTGAGGTCATTTTTTGATATTTATTTGAGTTCATTTCATTCAGTGGATATCTTGATTTCATACAATATTCATGTACAATATAATCTAATCTATAATACAATCTATAGAATAACAAAAGCTTTCTGTGAACGAGATATAGACAAACATAAAGCTTCAGTATCTACACTATTTGAGTGTTTCTAAAAAATACGGAATAATTTTAACTATTGACATACAGTAAGAAAGAGTATCCAGTTCAGGCAGTAATGACACAGTTTTAGTTCTCAGTCCATTGTGAGCACATCCCCTAGTGTTCATTTGACAGCACTACACATAATCGTCACCTTTTCTCCAGGAGGACTGAGCACTAAAAGCTTCTGATTCACAGAGAATGGAAGAAAACGCAAAAGTGTCAACCCACCAACTAATAATACATGATGCTTTTAAAGCCTGTGCTGCAGCTCTATGTCGCCATGGCAACTGCAGGCTCAGCTGCCATACAATGGTGGCATACCACATTTGGCTGTGACTCTGTGTGCTGAGAGTGAAGCTTACATTTGCAGTGACAGAAGGGGACCACCATGGGGCAGAAAAGTATTTTCTATTGCTGAGGATATGGTGGCTCTGTCATATTTGACAGAAACAATGCATGTGTGCACATACACAAATGTGTGTATAAAAACATGCATTCAGACGCGAGTAGTCGAGGCATCCATACTCTACATGTGCTGTATTAATCTTGCAGTGTTAATGTTGCAGTTTGTACTGTGGATGCAGTGGAACAAGAGTATTTTGTAATGTTTTAGTGTTAAATGGTGATGATATTTCACCAGGTCTTGATTATTGATAATATGTTGTATATCGAGACCCAGCAGGATCCACACATGAGGGTTTTCTCTCCAGGCTGTCTCTCATATCCTAATTTTCAGCCCCACTCTCTCTGACTTTCACCCCTTTCTCACACATACGCTCTCTCTCTCTCTCTCTCCCTCTCTCCCCTCTCTCTCTCTCTCAGCTGGGCTCTTCTCTCTCGTCTCTTCTCTCTCTCTCTCTCACACACACACACAGACAAACACACACACATATGCACACACATCAAAGTGCTGCTCTGAGTAAAGATGGAACAGGCTCCTTTGATCTCTCCCTGCCGGCTCTGATTAATGTGTGGATTTACAGTGCAGACCTACAGGGACCTGGCAGCCATGACACCCTTCTGCTGCACTGGAATCTAGTTTTCCTTGCAGCCAATCACAGCCCTTGATTTTATTCATTGCTCCAATCATGATGCTTTTCACATAGGCACTGACAAAAGAACGAAACAAACCCAAGCCTCACAGTTATTTATTCAACCTTAAGCACCCAACACAAAGTCTCCGAAATCCCACCAGTCACAAATCACAGGACAGCATACACTGTACCTGCCCAATCAGAAGGACTTCACAAAGTCTGCTTTGTAAAGCCTTTCACCCAATCCGAACCCTTCATCTTAGAAGAGAAAGTTAGATGAAATAGACGTGGATCGTTGTTGTAAATGTTTAATTCAGCGAGTCTTGGCAGTCATTTGCAATGGTGGGTACAGTGTTGGTGTTTGGTGGGAGGCTTGCTGATGAAGATGAAGCAAATGTTGGAAAAAATTTAGCATTGAGCATCAAAGGAAATGTTTGCACGACGCTCATTGCACAATGTATTTTGTGCATTGCACATCACACCTACACTTCATCACAAGCCAGGCCATAATAAGTAAACAATGTACCCACTCTTTAGTCTGTCTTTGCTCTTTTTACCCCAAA